ATATATATATATATATATATATATATATATATATATATATACACAGAGAACATGAAAAAATGGGTGTTGCCATACCAACTCTGAGACTAATCAATTAAGGTGGGCTGTTATCAGCAGGAGAAAAAAAACTTTTGTAGTGATCATCAGGATGGCCCATTTCAAACAGTTAATACCTATACCTATCTCATAGAACTGGAAGGGACCTCGAAAGGTTATTGAGTCCAGCCCCCTGCCTTCACTAGCAGGACCAAGTACTGATTTTTGCCCCAGATCCCTAAGTGGCCCCCTCAAGGATTCAACTTACAACCCTGGGTTTAGCAGGCCAATGCTCAAACCACTGAGCTATCCCTCCCCCTAACAAGAAGGTGTGAGTAACAGTAGGGGTTCTTAATCTTTCCCTGTTTGCTGTATAGGATGTTGATCAGGTGGTTCCGCAGTTTCTTTGAGAGTGTGTGGCACCATCTCTCGGCATAGTCTGTGTGGTAGTGGTATGTAGATTGTAATGGATTTTTTTACCTTCAGTCCTTCTGGTATGATGTCCATCTGTTTGCATTTGGAAAGGAAGATGATGTCTGTCTGTATCTGTACGAATTTTTTTCATGAAGTTGATGGATTTCCACTTCATACGGCTAAATTCAGTGCCTTGCATGGCTACTCTTAAGAGCCTCCTGTTTTGCAACAACATAAAACCAGGTTTCCAAGTAAAGCTTTGGTTACATGGAAGACCAAAGAAAAAAAATGGAAGATTTAGAAAAGAACAATAAAGACCAAATGTGTTGCCCCCACCAAAGAATCTACATGCCACTGATGAGCTGGAGGGAGCATGTGGTGATTTGTATAAGCTATTTAAGTTTTTTTATGTAATCTAAAATGCATCTGAGAATAAAATAAAATAAATGTGTGCCGCAACATAATTGTCACTGCTGTTTTGTAGCAATCCCCAACTGTAGACTGCAAAGGGGATAGAGAAAATTAATGTCATTCCATGCAAGATCCCCACACATATTTTGTAAAGTGAGTCAATTGAATGCGGGATGTATCCCAGTATATTGACTTCCTTACAGGGATTCCACCAACTTGTCTCTGGTCAAAAGCACAGGCTTCTGAACAACAGTCCTTAGGCTTTCACCTGGATATAGCTTTGTGGGGGCTTTCAGGGAGGGTAGATCCAATACCAAATTATACGACACGTGGAGCTTCTTCCTGGTGAAACAGTCTCTACACCCTGTAGTGCAGAACATAGTCCCCTGCAGGAATTTTTACACTGAATGCTTATAGTCTGAAGGAATCAATAAATACAGGTGCCTAATTCTCAGTGCTCAGAGTAGGTCAAGAGGAGCAGTGGAAATATGGCTTAAGGCCTGGCCCTGTGGTTCTTGTTGGTGCCAGACCAGTCCCCAGTATAAATTAGAGCAATCTGAATGTTGCTGTAATTTATATACAGGAGAATCAGCTAAATGGACAGTGAAAACACAAGGAGATAGCTGGGCAGTTTTATTGAAACTGATAAGGTGATAGGAAAATAGAAAATTGTACAGAAAACCAAACGTGCAATTTAAATAGACAAGAGGCCAGATTCTGCCCCATGCTACTAGCCCTTTGCACTGCCAGAGTAGTAAAAAGAGACCTTTATAGCTGCTCTGAAAGGGCTGCTGTAGATTTTCCCAGTGGAAGGGAATCCTCAGCTGGTGTGAAGTTGGCTAGCTTGTAGTGGGAGGTTCCTGTTGCCACAGATAAGGGACTCTAGTGGTGAGACAGGAGGTAGCATGCTATGGGCACAAGTCACTATAACAGGGGTAGAGCATTGATGGGACCACAGTCCTGCCACCTTTCACATAGGCCAGCACAGCCTGGCATGTGCACCTTGCAGAACTAGCTGCATCAACCTGAGATATGATGTACTGTATACACTCCTGAGTGCTGGGGAATGTCAAGAGGGACTGTCTCCCCCTCTAGAGCAGTGCAGCTCCACACCATTCCTAGCACAAGTCTGGGTGTTAGTTGCACAATCTGGCCCATGGTACATGCAAGCTGCACTTCATCATTCTAAATCCAATGATATTTCTCTTCATATGACTTCATAGTGGCATCTGTTCTCCCCTTCCCCCAGCAATGGATGTTCCAGTTTCTAAGCTTCCATCAAGTCTGTGTTTACCAGTATGGTTAATTGGTTTAAAGGAGGTGATATAAAGATGGTGGGGTTTTTTTATTATTTTTGTTATTTTTTAACATTTACCAGAAGCTGAAACTGAGCTACTTGTTAAAACTGAACGAGCAAGAATCCAGGTCCCAGAATGAAGCAATTGTCTCCCATCACAGAAGAGAATCATTTTTATAAATGGGAATTAATATTGATTTCACCTTTAAGGAACTCCTAGCTCACATTAATATACAGAACAGATTTTTTTATTGTTTCTTTTCAGTCGATTAACTGTTTTTTTGTGCCTCAATGGATATTTCAGTCATGGAATAATGTATCAAGTATTTCAGTTATGCTCATTGTCCAGTAAGTCAGTAATGTTTGTAGTACTCGAGGAAAAAAAAAAGTTGATGACCCTTTCTTCTGGAAAGGCAGTCACTAGTTTCATAATGTATGTGGACTGTAAAGTCGACATGTGCTGTTAAATTTTTTAAGTTACACTTCCAAGGGACTCTCTGTTTTTAGCAAATGTGCTAATGTCTCCAAGGAGATTAGTGTAGGTTTTCAGAATAGATTTGATTTGGGAGGTGATTAGGTACGCCAAGTGGTGTCTTTTCCTGATATTATTTTGACAGTAGTGCTTTCTTTTCTCCCTAATTGTACAAAAAAACAGGTTTAAACCTTAATTACATCACATTGCAGTGTTTGTTATAGGACGCTTCAGCTCAGAAGCCTTGAAAGCCTTGTAAATTGCTTATATTTGAAATCTATTTTTCTTCTATATAAAATTTAGTTGTGTGATCATGTCTATCAAATATGTAGGATCTGAGATTGGTTCCTAAGCTTTTCTACTGCTTCCAAAATAGCATGCTGCTGGCCCCTGCTCCCAGGCCAGCAACAGTGGAGAAGAATGTAGAACCTAGAGGCCTGGAAAGGTAGGATGGCTAATGGGAATTATCACATCCAAAATAGAAACAAAGCTCAAACAGTTTAATGCTCCCAAACTGGGGGGACCAGATAATCTCCAACCCAGAATACTGAAAGAACTGCACATGAAATTGCAAGTCAGGTAGCAAGATACCATATTACTGGAGAATAGCAAACATAGTTATCTATGTATTTAAGAAAGGGGGGGAAAGTAGTCCAGGCAACTACAGATCTGTTTGTCAATAGTATGCAAGATTTTAGAACAAGTTTTGAAGGAAAGAAGAATTAAAGACTGGAGGTAAATGAAAATGGGATAAAATCCAACACGGAATTATCAAAGGTAGATCTTCCTTTGATAAAATAACTGATTTCTTAGATTTCATTCACTGCATGTCCTTTATCTAAAATTCAATAAAGCATTGGCATGGTACTACATGGGGAATTATTAGTAAAATGGGGATTAATATAGGAACTGTAAGGAGGGTAAGGAAACCGTGTAAAGGGGAGAGGTCAGTGGGTTGTGCTGAAAGGAGCATTGTTCGGCTGGAGGGAGGTTACTAATGGCATTCTTCAAGGATCACTCTTGGGACCGATCATATTTAATATTTTAATTAATGACCTTGGCACAAAAAGTAGGACTGTGCTAATTCAGTTTGCTGATGACAAAAAGTTGAGTCATTGTCCATACAGAGGAGGATCAGAATATTATACAGGAAGAATTGGATGAGCTAGAGGCCTGGAATATAGAAATGGGGTAAAATTTTAATAGTACGAAGTATAAGGTCATGCACTCAGGGACTAACAACAAGAATTTCTGCTATCAGCTGGAAATGACATAGGAAAGAGACCTGGGTGTGTTAGTTAATTATGAGCCACCAATTTAATGAGCCCATAAAACACCAAATGTGAACCTGTGGTGTTGGTGGCCTGTTGGTGCAGGAGGTCAGACTAGATGATCTAGCATCTAGTCTATGATACTATGAGAAAAGGGGGTTCCTAACATCACAAGGGAATAATAACATCACTTGGTAGCACCCATTTCAACTGATCCCAAACCTTATCTACAAAAATTAAATACTAAAGTATTCTAGAATAATCGCCCCAAATACTGCTAGTTCTACTGTCAGGTGATGTGAAGTATTACTAAAGAACACTGTAGTATTTTTTTTTATAAGGGAAGAGGACACTGACAAGCCTCAGTGTGAATAGGGTGACCAGACGTCCAGATAAAATCGGGACTGTCCCGATTTTGAGGAGTTTGTCCCGCGTCCCGATATTTTGTTTGGGATTTTTTTTTTTTTTACACTCACCCGTCCGGGTCTTCAGCGGCGGGTCCTTCAGTTGCTGATGGTCTTTGGCGGTATTTCGGTGGTGGATACTTCCTTCTTTGGCGGCAAGGTTTATTACCCGCCGCCGAAGACCGTCAGCGACTGAAGGACCCTCTGCCGAATTGCCACCGAAGA